CCACGGCCAAAAACCCTCGTCCTTCTCAATCTCCTCCTTAAAACAAATCATCTGTTCATGTTCTGGCTCCGGTACGAGAGGAACTTTAAAATCTCCAGGTGCTCGATGCTGCGTCCATGTTTAGGCGTAAACACGTAAAGCACGGGACACTTTTGGGGCGTTTAAAGTTCACATTGGAGATCAGATACAAGTCGTATTTAATTGGAAATGTGAACGATCTCACAAAAAAAAAATCTGATTTCACAAAAAAGCCCTGCAGTTTGAACGAAGCCTTTGATTTCATAGTTTTGTTTCCATTCTCGTACTTGGAAAAGTAAAAGATGTAACTCACCAATACTTGACTGTCTTTTTTGTCCAATCTAAATGTAAAAACTCACAAGATCATTTTTTTCTCATCTTGTGGCAGTTTTGTCTCGCGAGATCTTGTCCCGTCGCCAGAGTTTTACGATGTGTTTTCATGTTTGAACAGTTTGAGTAATGAGCGTTTTGTGCAGGAGATTCACGGCGCTCAGACAGTACAGCGACGAACTCAACGGGGTGATCTCGCAGCTGCTCAGAGTGCGAGCTGTGAGTACAAACTCTCTGTTTATAAAGACGGTCTCTAGTCCAGTGGGTGAGTTGTTGTTGTTGTAGTTTTTGTCCACCGATCTGAAGGTTGGCGGTTTGTGTCTGTGTGAAGTGAACAATACAATAATACATAAAAAATAAAAAAAAATTCAAATATATCTGTCTTTTAATGTGAACAAAAATGTAAGACAAATATGGTGGTAACTAACAATTACTTTCATAGTTTATCATTTAAATTATTTCTATTATGTCTATTGTACATGAAGACTTCTTTTAAATACAGTCCCTGACAAAAGTTTTGTCTCTTATCCATTTTGTAGAAACAAAAGCTTATAATCTGACTTTAAATTAATCGATTGGTTTTAGAAATGTCTCATATGAAGCTAAAACCCTCCCAAATTATGTTCAATATACTAAAATAAATTAGCTTCACTGAAGAAAGATTGATCATTTAATGAACACAGAAAGGTCAGATTTTGACAAGACAAAAGTCTTGTGGTCTTGTCATATGATGCACCCAATCCTAGATTACAGCCTCACCTGTGATCAGTTACTGATCAATCAATTAGTGTGTGTGTATAAAAAGAACCTCAGCACACCAGACCTTCACATCAACTGCAACTTGACCTCTGACAACATGCCTAAGATCCACCCTGAGACCAAAGCCTTAATTATCAAGAGGCTGAAGACCAGATCCACTGCTGAGGTGGTGACACCTTCAATGTGTCTCAGCGTCAAGTACAAAGAATAAGAAAAAGATCTGAAATGACTGGAGATGTTTTTGACAAGCCCAGGTCCAGCAGACGCCGCAAGACAACTGCTCGGGAGGACCGTTTGTTGATTCAAAAATCCAAGGCCCCTTTTCCACTGCAGCAGACTCCACCAGGCCTGGTCACCTCAAGTCCCTGTGTCAACCACAACAGTTTGTAGAATTCTGTCTGGAAATGGCCTCCATGGTCGAATCAGTGCACAGAAACCAACACTAAACAAAAGGTAATTAAAAAACCGTGTGGTATTTGCCAAGGCCCACAGCCTGTTAAAAGGATGGACACTGGAAAAGTGGCAGAAGGTGGATTTCTCAGATGAATCCTCGGTTGAATTACATCACAGCCGCCGCAAATATTGCAGGAGACCAACTGGAGCCACATGGATCCAAGATTCACCCAGAAAACAGTTAAGTTTGGTGGCAGAAAAATCCTGGTCTGTGGTTCCATCCAGTCTGGGGGTGTGTGAGACATTTGCAGGGTGGAAGGCAAATATCAATAACCTAAAATATCAAGAAGTATTAGCTCCTCTTACATTCCCAACCATTAAAGGGTCAGATTTTGCAGCAGGATGGTGCTCCATCACATACTTCTATCTCTACATCAAAGTTTGTCAAGGTGAAGAAGATCAAGGTGCTCCAGGACTGGCCAGCCCAGTCACCAGACATGAACATCATTGAGCAGGTCTGGGGTAGAATGAAAGAGGAAACATGGAAGGAAAACCAAAGAACTCTTGATGAACTCTGGGAGGCTGTAAGACGCTTTCTTTGCTATTCCTGATGACTTCATCAACAAATTGTATGAATCATTGTGGAACCACATGGATGTGTCCTTCAAGCTCATGGAGTCATACAAGATATTAAACATGGATCTCACAGCACCACTACTTCATTCACTGACGTTATGCAACATGTTTTTGTATTTGAAGTAAATTATTTGTTCAATTTTCTGTAGGCGACAAAACTTTTGTCTTGCCAAAATCTGACCTTTCTGTGTTCATTAAATGATCAATCTTTCTTCAGTGAAGCAAATTTATTTTAGTTTATTGAGCATAATTTGGGAGGGTTTTAGCTTCATATGAGACGTTTCTAAAACCAATCGATTTAATTTAAAGTATAATCGCCTGGTCCTGGTTATTTGATTAATTGTTGCAGTCCAAACTACAAAAACAGTGAGGCTCCACATCAGCAGCGTGTCCCGCTTCAAAACGCAGAGATATTTGGACACTTTGACAGTTAGAAACAAAAGTGTCCCTCTTTTTCATTTACTTTCACACGCACCATTGTCCATTTCTCTCTCCTTCCTCATTTCACTGAACAACTATTTGCATCCTTCCACATTTCCAAAATAACTTGGCAAACAATAAGCAAATAACATAACGAGCTTCCTGCTTCAGTTCCCGGGTCAGTCTGGAGGTTTCTGTACAGAGTTTGCATGTTTTCTTTGTTTCTTTGTGGATGAAATTTGCACCACGACATTTTGTTTATCAACCTAATGTGTAACAAGACTGTAATAAAATAATAACATGTTTTTCGGGGACAGTGGCTGTTCGTACGCTGGACCAAGATGAGGAAAAGTTCTAAAAGAGGAACTGTCTGGAACATCTGGTTTATAATTTGAAACCAGTGTAATTAAAAGGACATGACATTTATAAAATCATCATAAAGTCTGGTCTTTTCAGAGGATCGACACAAACCTCTGACTCCTGTTGTGCGTTCTGTGTATTTGTTGGTAACTTCTAACGGCGCTTTTGTCTCCTCAGAGAGTCGCAGACAGACTGTACGGCGTCTACAAGGTCCACGGGAATTACGGACGTGTTTTCAGGTGCAGATCTGGTGTTTTTCTTTTATAAATTAATTTTAGTTTTGTGTGTTTTTGAGTAAAGAGCTGAGTATAATTATGTTTGTGTGTTTGTAGTGAGTGGAGCGCCATAGAGAAGGAGATGGGAGACGGTCTGCAGAGCGCGGGACACCACATGGACACGTGAGTGACAGTCCTCTGTGTATTATCAGGACGTGTGTGTGTGTGTGTGTGTGTGTGTGTGTGTGTAATCTTGTGTTGTGCGTTTGTAGATACGCCGCCTCCATAGATGATATTTTAGAGGAGGAGGAGCACTACGCAGACCAGCTCAAAGAGTATTTGTACTACACCGACGCTGTGAGGTGAGTGTGTGTCTGGACTAGGGACGGGCATTCAATGACATTTTTTTAATCGATCGTCGGAAGAATTACGATCGATTATCGATTAATCATTAACGTTTTTATATTAAAATGATCATCATTATTATTACTATCTGCACTAGGGATGGGCATGATTAGTCGATTAATCGATAATTGATCATCAAGAATTTCATCGATTATGTTCATTTTAATGGACAAACTGAATGTATGTTTGTGTATCGTGACCAAACAGGTGTGTACATGTGTCTCTGCATCAGAAGGAGCGAGACACAAACAGTGGGTCAGTCTGTAACGAACCGAAGCACAAATGTGGATTTAACGGTGATTTGTACAAGAAATTCCACACTTTCCGTTGCGTTGGGACAAGTGTGAGTCCATGTGCACAGTGACGAGGCCCCGCCCCCCTCCCCCCGTACGCTGTCCTGGTTTTGACAAACACAAATCTGGTCACACTGACCTGTATTCACCTGAGTCATGTCTTTTAATCCAACACAAGTTGAACCACATCAGCGACACAAGAGCTGGAGTTTTATCTTCACTTAGTTTATGTAAATTAGTGATGTGGTTTTAAGTTTTGTTTCTGTGAGATTTGAACAAAACTGAATTAAACACATTATAATGTCAAACAGCTGATGTGGATCTAGAGTCGTTATGTTTATATGTCGTAAAGTTGAATTTTATTTATGCAGATTAGTGCAGATAGTAATAATAATGATGATCATTTTAATATAAAAACGATTTAATGATTAATCGATAATCGATTAATTCTCCTGACGATTGATTTAAGAAAATTTCATCGAATGCCCGTCCCTAATCTGCACTAATCTGCATAAATAAATTCAACTTTACGACATATAAACATAACGACTCTAGATCCACATCAGCTGTTTGACATTATAATGTGTTTAATTCAGTTTTGTTCAAAATCTCACAGAAACAAAACTTAAAACCTCATCACTAATTTGCATAAACTAAGTGAAGATAAAACTCCAGCTCTTTGTGTCGCTGATGTGGTTCAACTTGTGTTGGATTAAAAGACATGACTCAGGTGAATACAGGTCAGTGTGACCAGATTTGTGTTTGTCAAAACCAGGACAGCGTACGGGGGGAGGGGGGCGGGGCCTCGTCACTGTGCACATGGACTCACACTTGTCCCAACGCAACGGAAAGTGTGGAATTTCTTGTACAAATCCTGGTTAAATCCACATTTGTGCTTCGGTTCGTTACAGACTGACCCACTGTTTGTGTCTCGCTCCTTCTGATGCAGAGACACATGTACACACCTGTTTGGTCACGACACACACAAACATACATTCAGTTTGTCGATTAAAATTAACGTAATCGATGAAATTCTTAATGATCAATTATCGATTAATCGACTAATCATGCCCATCCCTAGTGCAGATAGTAATAATAATGATGATCATTTTAATATAAAAACGTTAATGATTAATCGATAATCGATCGTAATTCTTCCGACGATCGATTAAAAAAATGTCATTGAATGCCCGTCCCTAGTCCAGACACACACTCACCTCACAGCGTCGGTGTAGTACAAATACTCTTTGAGCTGGTCTGCGTAGTGCTCCTCCTCCTCTAAAATATCATCTATGGAGGCGGCGTATCTACAAACGCACAACACAAGATTACACACACACACACACACACACACACAGACACACACACGTCCTGATAATACACAGAGGACTGTCACTCACGTGTCCATGTGGTGTCCCGCGCTCTGCAGACCGTCTCCCATCTCCTTCTCTATGGCGCTCCACTCACTACAAACACACAAACATAATTATACTCAGCTCTTTACTCAAAAAACACACAAAACTAAAATAATTTATAAAAGAAAAACACCAGATCTGCACCTGAAAACACGTCCGTAATTCCCGTGGACCTTGTAGACGCCGTACAGTCTGTCTGCGACTCTCTGAGGAGACAAAAGCGCGGTTAGAAGTTACCAACAAATACACAGAACGCACAACAGGAGTCAGAGGTTTGTGTCGATCCTCTGAAAAGACCAGACTTTATGATGATTTTATAAATGTCATGTCCTTTTAATTACACTGGTTTCAAATTATAAACCAGATGTTCCACCAGACAGTTCCTCTTTTAGAACTTTTCCTCATCTTGGTCCAGCGTACGAACAGCCACTGTCCCCGAAAAACATGTTATTATTTTATTACAGTCTTGTTACACATTAGGTTGATAAACAAAATGTCGTGGTGCAAATTTCATCCACAAAGAAACAAGGAAAACATGCAAACTCTGCACAGAAACCTCCAGACTGACCCGGGAACTGAAGCAGGAAGCTCGTTATGTTATTTGCTTATTGTTTGCCAAGTTATTTTTAAAGTGTGGAAGGATGCAAATAGTTGTTCAGTGAAATGAGGAAGGAGAGAGAAATGGACAATGGTGCATGTGAAAGTAAATGAAAAAGAGGGACACTTTTGTTTCTAACTGTCAAAGTGTCCAAATATCTCTGCGTTTTGAAGCGGGACACGCTGCTGATGTGGAGCCTCACTGTTTTTGTAGTTTGGGCTGCAACAATTAATCAAATAACCAGGACCAGGCATTTATACTTTAATTAAAATCGATTGGTTTTAGAAACGTCTCATATGAAGTTAAAAACCCTCCCAAATTATGCTCAATAAACTAAAATAAATTTGCTTCACTGAAGAAAGATTGATCATTTAATGATCACAGAAAAGGTCAGATTTTTGGCAAGACAAAAGTTTTGTCGCCTACAGAAAATTGAACAAAATAATTTACTTCAAATACAAAAACATGTTGCATAGTCAGTGAATGAAGTAGTGTGCTGTGAGATCCATGTTTAATATCTGTATGACTCCATGACTTGAAGGACCATCCATGTGGTTCACAATGATTCATACAATTTGGTTTGATGAAGTCATCAGGAATAGTAAGAAAGCGTCTTACAGCTCCAGAGTTCATCAAGAGTCTTTGTTTTCCTTCCATGTTTCCTCTTTCATTCTACCCCAGACCTGCTCAATGATGTTCATGTCTGGTGACTGGGCTCCAGTCCTGGAGCACCTTATCTTCTTCACCTTGACAAACTTTGATGTAGAGATAGAAGTATTGTGATGGAGCACCTCCTGCTGCAAAATCTGACCCTTTATGGTTGGAATGTAAGAGGAGCTAATACTTCTTGATATTTAGGTTATTATATTGCCTTCACCCTGCAAATGTCTCACACACCCAGACTGATGGAACCACAGACCAGGATTTTCACCCCAAACTTAACTGTTTTCTGGGTGAATCTTGGATCATGTGGCTCCAGTAGGTCTCCTGCAATATTTGCGGCGGCTGTGATGCAGGATTCATCTGAAAATCCACCTTCTCCACTTTTCCAATTAACGCTGTGGCCTTGGCAAATGTACCTTTTGTTTATGCACTGATTCGACCGAGACAAATTCTACAAACTGTTGTGGTTGACACAGGGACTTTCATGGTGGAGTCTGCTGCAGTGGAAAAGGGGCCTTGGATTTTGAATCAACAAACGGTCTCCCGAGCAGTTGTCTTGCGGGTTGCTTGGACCTGGGCTCGTCAAAAACATCTCCAGTCATTTTCAGATCTTTTTTCTTATTCTTTGTACTTGACGCTGAGACAATTGAAGGTTCACCACTCAGCAGTGGATTGGTCTTCAGCCTCTTGATATTAAGCTTTGGTCTCAGGTGGATCTTAGTCATGTGTCAGAGTCAAGTTGAAGTTGATGTGAAGGTCTGGTGTGTGGTTCTTTTTATACACAACACTAATTGATTGATCAGTAACTGATCACAGGTGAGCTGTAATCTAGGATTGGGTGCATCATATGACAAGACGACAAGACTTTTGTCTTCCAAAATCTGACTTCTGTGTTCATTAAATGATCAAATCTTTCTTCAGTGAAGCTAATTTATTTTAGTTATTGAACATAATTTGGGGGTTTAGCTTCATATGGACATTTCTAAAACAATCGATTAATTTAAAGTCAGATTATAAGCTTTTGTTTCTACAAAATGGATAAGAGACAAAACTTTTGTCAGGGACTGTATTTAAAAGAAGTCTTCATGTACAATAGACATAATAGAAATAATTTAAATGATAAACTATGAAAGTAATTGTTAGTTACCACCATATTTGTAGTTTTGGTTTTCTTACATTTTTGTTCACATTAAAAGACAGATATATTTGAATTTTTTTTTTTTTTTATGTATTATTGTATTGTTCACTTCACACAGACACAAACCGCCAACCTTCAGATCGGTGGACAAAAACTACAACAACAACAACTCACCCACTGGACTAGAGACCGTCTTTATAACAAGAGTTTGTACTCACAGCTCGCACTCTGAGCAGCTGCGAGATCACCCCGTTGAGTTCGTCGCTGTACTGTCTGAGCGCCGTGAATCTCCTGCACAAAACGCTCATTACTCAAACTGTTCAAACATGAAAACACATCGTAAAACTCTCGCGACGGGACAAGATCTCGCGAGACAAAACTGCCACAAGATGAGAAAAAATGATCTTGTGAGTTTTTACATTTAGATTGGACAAAAAAGACAGTCAAGTATTGGTGAGTTACATCTTTTACTTTTCCAAGTACGAGAATGGAAACAAAACTATGAAATCAAAGGCTTCGTTCAAACTGCAGGGCTTTTTTGTGAAATCAGATTTTTTTTTTGTGAGATCGTTCACATTTCCAATTAAATACGACTTGTATCTGATCTCCAATGTGAACTTTAAATCCCAAAAAGTGTCCCGGCTTTACGTGTTTACGCCTAAACATGGACGCAGCATCGAGCACTGGAGATTTTAAGTTCCTCCTCGTACCGGAGCCAGAACATGAACAGATGATTTGTTTTAAGGAGGAGATTGAGAAGGACGAGGGTTTTTGGCCGTGGTGTTCTTTGGGGCAGTAATAGAAACTTCCGTAGAAAAAAAACATGTGGGTTCAGATATAATTTTCGTCTGATGAGAAGAACGTTTGTGAACATTTGTGACAAGTGTAGGTGGGATGAATGTGACCCGACGTCGCATGTCCAAAGATCAGATGTGTTTGGGTTTTAGGAGCACAGATCCAAGTGTCCTGGGTCACATTTGAAAAAAAAAAATCAGATCTGTGT